ACCTCTTTATTTCAACCTCATCTGTATCTTAATCTCTTGGTTTGGGGAATCTTTAACCAACAAAACCATGTTTCCAGAAAACATACAAAAATTGATCCAAGATCTTCACTTATCATTAAAGTTGAATCTAATAAATATGTAATCCAGAAAGCTGCAGCTAACTGAGTCATATGTTTTTAAAACTCTACTTTAAAAATAAGTTAGTCCTTTATAGTGTAATTAGCCAAGTCAATCACCTCATTAACGACCATAACTCCATCAACATAAATTTTCCCTTATAAGTTATAATAAGGTCGTCTGATTATAAGATATCAACTTGTCCATCACCAACATTAATCTCTTAGACAAAAACATGGCTACCAACCTATACAAGGGTCCAAAAAGAGATATAAGTTGAAAGTCTCCCAAAGAACAAAGGTTCTTAACCTTAAGAATAAAAGTGGCAAAAATGGAAGCAACAATATAAGGTAAAGATGAAAAAAAATGAAACTCTTGAAACATGATCCTCACGTCATCCCTTAGCATGCTCCAGTACCTTTTTAAAAAAGAAAAGTTAAATCCATCAGAACCTAGGTTCTTGTCCCCTTCACTGTAGGACACCACTTCATCCAGCTCCTCAAGCACGAAGGGAGATGTTAACGCAATATTATCCTCCACATATAAGGTAAGAAGGTTCTTTAAACCGCTAAGAGAAATAATTAAACACCTCTCACTGAATGTCAATCACACTTATAATACAAAAATTGCCTACCTTAAGGGAATAAATTAAATTTTTTCTACTTCTACATTTAATTGAAGAATGCAAAAATTTTTAATTAGAATCCCCCTAGTTTAGCCTATTAGCCTTAACTATTTAACAAGATGAGAGTTTTTCGTCTTAAACCCTAACCTCTAAATTATTATGACCGTTTTCCATAACTATTAGTTCGAGTATCAATATATCAAGCCTTGTTGATTTTCTTAATCATCTTATCTACAAATCTTGCTCTATCAAAGTTACGTACAAAAAATCTGCATTCGAGTCACACACTCTTTCTCAGGTTTATACCGGGATATATCTTCAAGCGTTATTTCAGTTGAGAAACAAGTGTGAGTTGTGTTGAGAAATAAGTGTGAGTTCTAAGTCCCACATTGCTTATAAAAGTGGAGGTTGAACACTTTATAAGTAAGAGGATCCATACATCTATCACCTAAAGGTTTTGGGTGAATATTTATTGTCTCTCTCACTTGATTGGGTGAGGTTTTGACATTTAGGTGACTGTTTGACTTTATGTGTATGTTGTTAGGTTAAATAATATATTTATCCAAGTCCCATAAGTAGCAGGAAGAAAATAAAAATATGAGTATTAGTATGAATAGAAATAATCAATTTTGGTTTTAACATATAACAACAAAATCTAGTCTTTTGACTGTATTGGAGATTTGGGTAGTTGTGTGTCTAGAAAAGGTTTTCTATTTTTCCATTCAAAAATATTTTGTTGCGAGAGTTTACAATTTTTCTATCCAAAATTTGTAGTTGAGAGAGGGTTTACAATTTTTTCGTTTAAAGACTATAATTTGGTGGGTTTGCAATTTTCTCCTTAAAATTTGCAATTGTTTGAGAGGGTTTATAATTTTGTCCTTGTAAGAAAATTACAAATTTAATTATGATTTTGTGAGTTTTATTTTTGAAATTTTTTCCCTTTTTCTTTTTGTGGATTTGCTTCTGCGTGCGTAGAAATTTGTTTTTTTCGTTATTTTCCAACAGCTAGTATCAGAGCTAGGCTCTGATCAAGGGAGAATGAAAGAGTCACAAAAAATTATGATCAAGGAAGAAAGAAGACAAAAAGATTGAAGAGTAATAATTTTACAAATGTGGCTAATCGTTATAATTATAATGGTCGCTTTTAAGATGAAATTGAAGACAAAGTGAAGATACGTGAGACTTTGGATGAATGGAAGATTTGTTGGGTCAAACATGTTAGACGATGACGACTTGTCTAGGGGGGGGGGGGGGGGGGGGGGTGAATAGACACCCAAACAAAAATCACCAAATAAAATTTGGATTTTTAAAGTTGTTAGAAAAAGAGAGTATGCGGAAGGTTTTGGTATGGATCGATAAAAGTCATCTATACGAACCTAGTTATTAGAAACTCGGATATGCAAAGACAATTATGGAATGACAAACACAATAATCGAGTTCAACCTTTAATCGAGTATCACATTATTACTCGTTTAAACTAATTACTTAGTAATGCTATTTCCAATGATAATGAGCAAAAATATTGAACTATGCAATTTATCAAACATTTGGTGTGTGAACGAATTTTTATATTTTCCTTTGTGTTGTTGTTGATATGAAAACCAATTATAATCAAAAGCGATTATAATAAGCTAATCAAAAATCAAGTTAACTAGAAAATTACAGGAAAATTCTTACGGGTCAATCGATAGTTTAATGCTATTTGATAAATTGCGTAATGAAAAAATAAAACTAGTAAAGAGATAAGAGAGAGATCGACATGAGGATTTATTCACGTAGTTCCCCATTTTCGTCCTTTTGTGTGGTTACGTCTGCACCTAATTTCCAATGTGGAATTAGGATAGTTTCTTACTATGCAAAAAGTCGATATATAAGAAAAGTGTTAAGAGCAACCATACAAACACAATCAATTCTAATGTTGATTCAACCTCTTTTCTTATTTTGATCTTGAGTAAGACCAAGACAACAATGAATGCCAATTGACTTTTCGATATTGCTACTCCTTTGCATTCTTTATCTCCAAAGCTTTCGTGCATGATCAATTGCACCGATTGTTCTACAAGACTTCAATTCGATTCGCCGTTCTTCGCTACTTTCTTTGCGTTCTTTATCTCCAAAGGGCCCTTTGCATTTTTTATCTCCAAAGGCATTCACAATGTCGCAACCCTCTCTTAAACGTCTTGCACGAAAATCCCCAAATATTCACTCGATCTTGGAGGACAACCCTGCGGTTTTTTCATATGAAGACCCCTGCAAATCTCAACCCAATATCTCGGCTACACAAGAACCTAATTGGACCTTATCAGGCCTTCACCTAGCTGACACGCCAACAAAAGATTATTACATGTGATTTGTCAGTGTAGATATAGGATGGAGGTTGAAGACGATGAGCAAATGCAGGCTAATTTTATGGTATCACTAGTTTAAAATGAAGCATGAATGATGTATATATTTATAGTTTTGGAAGATTGGTGGCAAAGAGGTAATTTTCAGAGTAAAAAAAAAAAACAAAACTGACCAACTTAAACAGCATGTGTCAGCCTGAATTTTGGATGTGCTGACACATACTATCAAAAATAACAGCATGTACCAACCCAACTGAAACATAACCTACAACCTTATTTAGTACAGTAGATGTGTCGGCCTACAACACGTATGTGCCGACACATAATGATGAAACTTCCAGTATGTGCCGACCCGAAGAAGGTATGTGTCGACCAAAACAAAACAGAAGCTACCGGCTTTAATATTGAGTTACATGTGCCAACCTGAAAAGCGTATGTGCCGACACATGTAATGCATTTTTGTGTAGAAACAAAACAGAAGCTACAAGCTTTAATATTGAGTTACATATGCCAGCCTGAAATGTGTATATGCCGACACATGTAATACATTTTTGTGCAGAAATCTGATTTTCATGTATTTGGGCTAGTTCAATATACCACACATACTCAGAGCTACGGTCCAATATACCAAAATGCGAAGTAATTTCAATGTTTTGACATCACGTAAAACATCTCATGATGAAGTTTCACTCACGAAATATTATACTCATCCAAAATCCACATCATCTAGTAGGAAAAAAAATATAATTTGGGTATTAATATAAATATAGATTATTAGCTAGTTTTAGTTTTAACATACAACATCACAATATAGTCTTTGGGGTTGTATTGGAGATTTGGGTAGTTGTGTGTCTAAAGAAGGTTTTTTATTTTTCCGTCCAAAAATAATTTGTTGAGAGAGTTTACAATTTTTCCGTCCAAAACTTATAGTTGTGAGAGGGTTTGCAAATTTCCATCTAAATATTGTAATTGAGAGAGAGTTTATAATTTTTTTGTTCAAAAATTATAATTTGGTGAATTTCTAATTTTCTCTTTAAAATTTGCAATTGTAGGTGAGGTTTGTAATGTTGTCCTTGTAAGAAAATTAAAAGTTGAGTTATGACAGTGAGTTCTATTTTAGAATTTTTTGTTCTTTTTCTTTTTTTGAGAATGCTTCCGCGTGGGTAGAAGTTTTTTATTTTATTTTTTTAACATATGTTTCCTTCTCGTGATGACCCATCAGCGCTATCAGAGCCGATGGTTTAAGTAAGAGATTGACTCCTTGTATCGAAAGTCTTTCCGACATAATGGTAGTCAGACGACATGTCCCGTTGTAGTATTCATGATAAGTAAGAGTGTCTGTCAACGGCGGTACAAACATGTGGATGAAAGAGCTCCCGCTTGAGAGGGAGTATAGTGGATGGACTTACAATTGAGGGGAAAATTGTTGAGAAACAAGTGAGTTGTGTTAAGAAACAATTGTGACTTATAAATCTCAAATTACTTATAAAAATGGAGATTGAACACTTTATAAATAAGATGACATATACATCTATTATTTTAAATTTTTGAATAAATATGTTATGTCTCTCGCTTATTTAAATGAGTCTTCAACTTTTAAATAAATATTTTACTCAATATATATCCTTCCCGCTCATTATAATCCATCAATTATTTTTCGCGTATCCAAAAAAGATATAGAGGGGAAAGTCTGTACAAACTTGCATTGAAGCATAGATATTGTTATTTATAATTTGCTGACAGACTTATTAAATAATGCCAACCTTATCTTATCTGCAAGTTCAAATAATTCTGTCGGATCTAAAACCAAATTGAAAACTTTATCTTTTCTTATCTATAAGTGATAACTTTATCATTCTAGATTGAAGTAAAGAACTAAAGCATTTTTTTTTCTGCATAATTTTTGTAACAATATGTTGTCTCTAATTTTACTTGTTTTGTGTCTAAGTAGTTTTCCATTACTTCTGTTCTTTCTGAAACATAGAAGAGCCATTAATGCACCTTATCCACCTGGTCCTAGAGGGTTGCCAATAATAGGGAACCTTCATCAGCTAGACAATTCTATTCTTCATCTTCAATTTTCAAAACTTTCAAAAATATATGGACCAATTTTTTCACTTCAACTTGGTTTAAGAGCAGCCATTGTTGTTTCTTCAGCTAAAATTGCCAAAGAAATATTTAAAGACAATGATTATGTATTTTCTAATAGGCCTATATTATATGGCCAACATAAATTGACTTATAATGGGTCAGAAATCATATTTTCTCAATACGGTGAATTTTGGAAAGATATGAAAAAGACTTGCATTGTTCATATTTTGAGCGCCAAGCGTGTGTCATCTTATTCATCTATAAGAAAGTTAGAGGTGAAACAAATGCTCAAAAAGATTTCTAATCATGCTAAATCTTCAGTTGTTACAAATTTGAGTGAGATGGTAACTTCTCTCTCAAGTACAATAATTTGTAGGATTGCTTTTGGGAGGAGGTATGAGGATGAAGGAATAGAGAGGAGTAAATTTCAAGGGATGTTGCATGAGTTAGAGGCTATGGTGACAGCTTTCTTTGTTTCTGATTATATTCCATTCATGGGCTGGATTGATAAACTATCTGGACTTCGTGCACGTCTCGAACGAAATTTCAAGGAGATGGATGAGTTTTACCAAGAGGTTATTGATGAACATTTGGATCCAAATAGAAAACAAGGAGATGAAGAGGTTATTGTTGATGTCTTACTCCAATTGATGAAGCAACGTTTGTTTTCAATAGATCTCACTTTTGATCACATCAAAGGAGTCCTTATGGTATGTTATCTTGATAGAATATTCTCTATGTTTTATTATTGTCAATGAGTGCTTAACAACTTGTTTTATTTTCTTTTAGAACATGCTTGTAGGTGCAATAGATACCACATCAGCCACAGCAGTTTGGGCTATGACTGCCCTAATAAAAAACCCAAGAGTAATGAAGAAGGTGCAACAAGAGATTAGAAACTCAAGGGTTGAAAAAGAACTTTTAGATGAAGATGATATAAAAAATTTTCCGTATTTAAAAGCAGTGATAAAAGAGACACTAAGATTGCACGTACCTGCACCATTGCTTGTACCAAGAGAAACAAGGGAAGACTCCGTTATAGGAGGCTACCAAATTCCGGCAAAGACAATAGTTTACGTGAATGCTTGGACTATTCAAAGAGACTCTGATGAATGGGAAGATCCCGAAGAGTTTTATCCAGAAAGATTCTTAGAAAGTTCTATAAATTTTTTCGGAAAAGATTTTGAACTAATTCCCTTTGGAGCTGGCCAGAGAATTTGCCCGGGTATGTCTATGGCAGTTGCATCATTGGAACTTATCCTTGCTAATGTTCTTTATTTCTTTGATTGGGAACTACCACATGGGTTGCTAAAGGAAGATATTGATACTGAAAGAACGACAGGAATCACTCAACACAAGAAAAATCATCTTTGCCTTGCAGCCAAGTTTCCTATGAAGATGTGATTTACATAACTATTTGTTGGGTTCTCCAACTATATTTATATGATGAACTTTTACTTCTTCTGCAATTTGAAAACTCTATTATTATGTGTGTATTGTATCTTTTACTATATGATATAAATCTTGAAGCATGCTACTTTTTGTTTTCAATTAGGCTTTGATGGCAGTGAAAATTATAGAGTGGGTACCTCATAAATACAACCATGAAGAAAGATAAACCTTGAATATCATTGAATTGTCAGTAAACTTGCTAAAATTGAGTTACATACTTCATAAATACAACCTCGAATATCATTGTATTGTCACTAAAATTGAGTTGCATACTTCATAAATACAACCATGAAGAAAGATAAACCCTAATCGAGTAGATCTGACATCTTTTTGCATAAGTCATGGCCAAAAAATGAACTCCTCTATTTTGGAATCAATATATCTATTTTTTTATAAAAAAGTCAATCTACCAAAAATCTCTCGATTGGTTTTTCATAGATTTATTCTATTATATTGTTTTATTATTTTGTATGTCTGTTATTCTATTCAATATCGTTCTTCATAATTCATCTGAAAATAAATACACAGCTCGTTATAAATAAAAAACATGTTCGAATATATTTTGGAGATTTATCTCTGAAAATTCTTGTAGATATATCTCTGAAAATATTTAAAAAATGAGTTATTAGAGATATATTGTAAACATTTAAGATTTAATTAGTTTCAGAGATATATATCTGAAATATATTAACGTTTACTTAAAAATAAAATCTACCCAAAAATATATCTCTGAAACCTATAGATATAATATCATGAACTCACGTAACGTATTTGGAGTACTGTTATATTATATATTATTCATCAGCAATATCGGATATAAATAGAGATATTATAATTTCATATATAGAATATAAATAGGGATATTATAATTTCATATAGAAAAAAAAGTATTCTAGGAAAAATTATTATAATAATAGATTAAATATAGAAAATAAATAAATAGAAAAAATGCAGTGCCTTCTATATCTTCCGCATATATATTTATCATGTCTAATTTATAATTTATCCACAAAATGCTCAAACGTAGGTTTAGACAAACTTTTGATGAGGAAGTCTGCAGTTTATTAATTTCTAGTAACAAATGGTAGACATATAAGATCGACATCTAATTTATAATTGAGTAGAGTTTTAGTGGAAGACCAATATGTACTTTCAATTATTCTAAAACTTTGTGGTTCCAAAGTTCAACATAAATACCTCGAGTTCCATATAGTAGTGTCATATCATTTCAAGTCTTGTTCTTTTCAAATGCTTTTATATTCTTACGTATGATATATGATACAAATACTATACACTGAAATAGATTTACATTTCTTTTTCTCAAGAGACAAATCTTTCCCAATTCAGAGTCATGACATGGTTGGGATGTGGACTCGTCAGTTTCCTTTTCAAATCTTATTTTTTGCTTTGAATCTATGTTCTACAAGTGTTTTATCATTATGTGGATTTTTTAATTAGTTCATCATTATCATCATGATAAATGTAGGCTCATATTCACCAAGCAGGGGAATCGTGGCCATTTGTTGTCGGTGCTAAAGTGCAAACCTCATAATTTTGCGATATTGACAAAGATGAATTAAGAAAACTTATATCAGTTTGAGACGAGTCTTCTACCTTAAAATTCCTCTCAAAATATGGATATCATTGAAAAAAAGGTTTCTTTTTAGAGAATATAAAAACCAAGAAATAAAAATAAGTGTTGGTACCACATAACACGCGTTTCATTTAAGTCTTGCATTGAGTATATGTTTGCGATATGAGAATATGTGTAATATGTCAAAATGTTGAATTGGTGAAATTGTAGATTGTGTGTACATACTTGTGAATGATATGGTTACTTGAGTGATACTTTGTTGATGAAACTTTGAAATGTGAGAATAATTGTTATTATGTTTGTATGCCTTAAATTAATTATTATCTTATGATTTCAATAATTATGTGAATTCTCACCCTTCTGTTGGAATGATATTTTATACGACATCGCTCAAGTACCGAGGAGTAGAGTTTCTTCTAGCGCGAGGTAGCTATTGGAGTGGCTTGATTTGTGTCTTTATTTATGTTGGGTTGAGTCATGCCCTGATCATGTAACATTGGGACCGTTTCGATTTATGTTTGAGAGATACATTATGTACTCTTCTTTATCTCGTTTCTGTTTATTTGAATTTTGTGGAGTATTGGCTTCATGCCTAAGTATTAAATATGAATGTGATCAGCATGAGACTTTCGTTATTTCCATTTAAGACTGAAGTAAATCCGTTGCTACATGCTAAGGTGAAAGTATATGAAGAGCATTAATTTATTTTAAGTGTTATTGAACATGACAGATATTTGTGTGATGTTTTGAAAATTTATGTGACACTCTTTTATGAGATCCATGATAATTGCTCTGATTATTTATATATATTTCGCGGGGTTTAGATGGGTGTTACACTAGCCGCCTTAATTACGGTTCTTTTTTCAAAACCATAGAGGCATTATATATAAGTTTAGGCTTAGGAAAACAATTCAATACAGGAACACTATTCAGCAGAGGAATTGTTCACCTTTAGAAACATTGCTCATCATTGAAAACACTGTTTATCCATAAACACTATTCAATTTCGCAACATTGTTCACTTTATAATATATATTTAATTGAAGGTTGCAGGCCTATTTACAACTAGTTGCTGGTTCTTTCTAATTATATTGAGTCAAGTGCATTCACATGACATCCATCAATATGTTAGAAGAAGAATTGGTTCAACTCAACAAAGACGAAGTAGAAAGGATGAGATCTCTCCTTAGTAAGTTAGAGAAACCAACAAGTATTTCTATGCTAGTATATTTAAGTACGTTTTCTTTCACTTTCTCTTGGTACGTCTCAATTTTCTTTAGGATTTAATGTCTCGGGTAAACCCTTTAATCAATATTATATACTTCACTTTTCTAATTATTCACCATGTCCTAGCTACAAATTAATTGTGCCTTTATAACTGTAGATGGTAAAAAAGATATATAAATAAACCTATTTATATTCCTATGAAATGTTCTTCATATTCCCAAATTATCCAATAGCCTAATTTCCATACAAAAACTCACAACCTACCTATCATGTAATGTTTTTCTTTATAACAATGCTTGTCTTTTTTAGGATAATAACTTAGGGAGGACAATTAGAAATGCTAGAGAATGGAATGACCTTTATTACTTGGATAACCAAAATATTCACAAATCCTTATATTCAGAATAAATTAAAATCAACAGATATAAGGTCTTTCTTTATCATTGTCGCATTGGTCATCCATCATTTAGGTTCATAAAATAATTATTTCCTTCATCATTTAAAAGTTTAGATGTGGAGAATCTTTGTTGTGAGGTGTGTCAACTTGCTAAACACAAGCGTGTTTTTTTTCCCAGTCATACTCATGTTTGGGGTCCATTGAATATTTCAAATATATCAGGTGCTCATTGGTTTGTAACCCTTATTGATGATTGCACTCAAGTTACTTGTTAAAACAAAAATATGACGTTTGTTCTGTGTTTCTTCACTTCTTCTCTATGGTTAAAAATTACTTTGGTGTGAGTATTAAGAGAATTAGGTCCAATAATGCAAAAGATTACTTTAACCACAATTTTAATTCTTTATGTAAAAAAGAAGGTATTATTCACGAGTCTTCTTATTTTAAAAGCCCTCAACAAAATGGGATTACTGAGATAAAGAATGACAATTGTTAGACCAAAGACGTGCTATGATGTTCCAAAATAAAGTCCGTAAGAAATATTGGGGCAATTTTGTTTTAACTACATTGTATATCATTAACCATTATCCCTCTAATGTCCTTGCCTATAAAACTCATATGGAAGTCTTATCCTTATTTTATCCCGATGTGCCTAATTCAAGTAATTCGATCCCTAAAATATTTAGTTGTACGTCGTTTGTCCATATCCATAATGATGGTAGAGGGAAACTTGATCCTAGAGCATTAAAATGTGTCTTTATAGGATATTCTTACACCCAATAGGGTTACAAATGTTATCATCCACTATCTAATAAATACTTTGTCTCTCGAAATGTAACATTCCATGAACAAGAAAGTTACTTCCTTCAAAATCATCTTCAGGGAGAGAATATAAGTAAGGAAGATGAGTCTTCTCTACTTCCTGACCTTACTTTCGAATTAGAAGCTAAGTCTAAAACTAGTTGTGACAATGTTTAGACTGAACTTGATTATGGAAAAAATGGAAATGTTGAAACTGATGTAGGATTTGGAAAGATTTTAGTATATATATAAGAAATATGAACATTCTCGAATCTACTCATATCCAAGAATCCAATCTTACATTACATGAGGTAACTTCTCCTGACCCTTCAACCACTAGTGATTTGATTTTTGAATTTTCTCATGAACAAGAAACAAAATCCAATTCAATACTATCACCACACTAGAAGGATTTATATCTTCCAATCGCCCTTAGAAAATATACCATAAGATATGCTAAAAATCCACTTTACCCTATATCTAACTACCTAAGTTTTGAAAAAATTTCACCCACCCATAAAGCATTCCTCACAAGTCTAAATACTAAAACAACACCTAACTCTTTATCCTGAGGCATTGTTTGTCAGCAAATGGAAATATGCCATGGACTTTGAGATAGAGGCACTGAATAAGAACAATACATGGGAATTGGTTTCTCTTCTAAATGGAAAGAAACCTGTAGGATGTAGATGGGTATACAATGTAAAATACAAGGCTGATGGATCTATTGAGAGGCACAAGGCAAGTTTGGTTGCCAAAGGATTCACCAAAAGTTATGGAGTAGATTACTCAAAGACATTTGCTTCCTGTCATAGAGAACTTGTTGAAGAGATCTATATGGATTTACCCCCTGGATACAGTGAACTTACTACCACCAACATTGTGTGCAAATACAAAAATGCTTTATATGGGCTAAAGCAATCACCATGAGCA